ATATTTGGTCATTTTATGCCTTGTTTTTTATTTTATTTTTTGTATTTTAGGGTTATTTTAAGACTTTTTTTCTTTTAGGTGAATATTTGGTCATTTTAAGCCTTGTTTTTGCTTTTTTGGTGTATTTTTAGGGTTATTTCTTGCCTTGTTTTTGCTTTTAAGTTAATATTTGGTCAATTTAGCCTTGGTTTTGTTTTTTATGTTGTGTTTATGGTCATTTATAGCCTTGTTTTTGCTTTTTTTGGTTAATATTTGGTGTTCAGTCCACTTCTGGTTCCTCTGGCAGATCTCAGCCTTCCCTCCCTGTTTCAGACCCTCTTCATCTGCTCGATTAGAGAGTTATTCATGCACGACTCTTCTTCTTCTGTCCTCCACTTGTCCAGTTTCCTAAAATGTTTAAGGACACACTGCACACGGTGCTGACATCTGTTTTAAGCTAGCAGCTCTTAGTTGGAGCACAGATCCTGATTTCTGTCTTTCAAGCTGTGTCATCTAAAAATAAAAAGCCCTTTGTGTCTCTGCTTTAGATTAATTTCCATAGACACTGATTCGGGGACCTTTTTCCTCCTTGGATTGCTCAGATGAGCAAACTAACTAGAGATCATTTACAAATGAGACAAGCATTCAGCCCCAAAAACTCACGATTTAGCTTCCACGTAAAAAAAGACGACCGATTCATGAATTCAGAGAAGATTGAATTCATTTCCTCTGTTTGGATCCCGTTTACAGCTCATAAAGCCCCCCTTTCCAGGGCCATTACGCCGCCACCTGCACGCCAACTATCCCTTTTCTGTTCCTGCTCTTAGGTTTGTTTACCGGAGGTTTGTTTGTGTTATACAGACTCTAATGAAGCCCTTTATGCCCCCCCCCCCCCTCTCCACGTGGAGGAAAATCAAATAAACGGCACTTGTGTGAGAGCGGTTACAGCATCTTATCTCTGAGCCCAGACAGCTGTGGATCCATGTCCCTGCTATTTATGGGGGGGGGAATATGATCAAGACCCCCAAAACAGGCATAAAAAATACACCTGGAAATCCTGTTGACAGACAAAGCAGAACCCATTTTTCAGGCCTGTTTTGGGTCCATGTAGACTGGAAGTCTCAGCCCATCCTTCCAGGTTTTGGAAAATAAAAAGGAAAAGGCACGAAAAAGAGAGCGGTTTAAGCATCTGAACGACTCGGTTTACGTTTTGGAGAAGGGCTCCATCTTTGAGATGGATCCAGATGTGGTGGGCTGGAGTCAAGTCCAGTGGAGTGGGAACAGTGGGAATAGTGGGAAGGGACCACAACGGCTTAGAAATTCAAGGTACAGTGAACCCTCGCTATATCGCGGTTCACTTCTCACGCGCATTGTGTTCTGCATTCTGATTGGCTAAACAGCTTCTTCTCTACCTGCTTGCTAAATTTAGGTTTGCCAATTCTCTAAAACCTGTAATGTTGACAAAACTTTCTGACAAAGGCAGATGAAGAAGCTAACTATCCCAGAAAAAGTCAAACCTCTGGACACGCTAAAGGAAGGTAGAAGCTATGCGGCTTTAGGTCGCCATTATGGGATTAATGAATCTTCCGTTCGGTCCATAAAAAAGGAGGAAAATAACAGGACGAGGGCAGCAATTAGTTTTAATAAGGATAAGGAAGCCTTCAGTTTGTATTGATTATTAAAATGATTATTTTACAGTACACTAGTTATTTAAAAAAATAAAAATAAAACGTTCATACAGTACTTTTAATTGTTAAACAAATGCTTGGGCCTGTGAAAAGGTTTTGTTCTTTGGTTTAAATGTATTATGGAGCATTTCATTGTTTAATAATTGTAAAAAAAATAAAGGTTATTACTTCACGGATTTCGCCTATCACGGGTTCTTTATGGAACGTAACCCCCGCGAAAAACGAGGGTTCACTGTAAATGTATTTTAGACAAAAGTCTCGATCTTAAACCCGGTTGGGGTCCTACAGCCAGACGACCGGAGCCGGAAATACGACTCTCTCCGCTTAGCAACCAGCTTTTAGGGATAAGGGAGGATTTCCAAAGCAGTTTAGTGTTTCTGCACCCACGTTTGGGGCAGAATGGAAGAATAATATCATCCCCCCACCCACCCCATAAAGCCCGTCTAAAGCTTTCCCGATGTTTGTAGGAAAGCTGTGAGTCGGCACGGTTATCCACCAGTAGGAATAACAGGGTTCAGAGTTTGTCGTCTCCATTTAAATTACTCAAAGTGATGAAATTAAAAGGCCAAATATCTTTTTCCTTTAATTATTTCATCAAACGCCTCGCCAGGTGTTGTTTCCCCGACGAGTTCGAAGAGCAAAGGTAATAACCACAAACATGGATGAATATCACTGAGGGGGGGAATATATTTCCAAACCGGTTCGAGCTTCTTATTGATTCCAGGACGCATCGAGCAAAATTAGAGACGATAAAGAGAAGTTTCAATCTCAGCCTTCTTTATCTTATCGATCCCTCCGGTGGTCAGCGGCTGAAGCTGATCGGAGTCTGGCCGACCGGAGAGGGGTCATAAAGCGTGTCCGGTCCAACCCGCTGATTGGTGCTTAACAGCGCTGATAACACGGTCAACAGACCAGCAAAGCAGCACTGAGCACGGATCAATACGAGCTGATGGCCATCGGGGGAGGAGAGGGGAAAAAATCCACTTCTGGTGGTTCAAAAGCTGACCGACGGTGAAATAACAACCAGAAGAACCTGCTGACAGGAGGCCCACGTTAGACCCAACCGCCTCCAGATATCTACCAACAAAGCACATAAAGATAAGCCAAAAGCTCCTAAACAGGAGAATCTGCATGAAAACAATAAAAATGATGCAGATAAGTGGATATTGAGCAGTCAGCAGAGCTCTGGTCCTAAGACGGCTGATAAGTTATTCTCTGGACTTTGTCAGCCACTTCAATCTTTCGCTCTTCTCAAATGTCCCATGACCAGTTGGTTAGGAGAGGATACAATTCAATGGGACAATTTAAGGAGACCCAACTGCCTCCAGGTATCTACTGTTAACCCGATTATTTAGTTGGAAACCTGAGAATATACCAGAGTAGATCAAGTGTAAAAAATGACATTTATTAGGTCATCAGCTGGGCTCTAACAGACTAAAACCTCTCTCTGGGTCTCAGTGGGCAAAGAGCCCTGAG